TATCATTAAATATAGTTCTTTGTTTTCTGTATTTGATGCAATTCATTATTTCATAATTATTTCAATGTTTAAATCATTCGCTCGCAAAATCGAGTTCCGGTCCCCCAGCAATGTACATGGCGCATTCCTCCTATAGGATCCCTAGACGCACGGTCCCTATAGGTTATACTTATGGTGTAAAGAAACTTCACTTTATTGATGTTAAATTGTATTAAAATAAGTTTTGATTGTGCTACAATTGTCTCATAATGCTAATTAATAAATTAAGAAAACAAAACATGAAGTACAGTTTGATAAATTTATTAAAACCGATTTTAAAAAATCGAGATGAATACTTTTTTCAAAGATTTATAAAAAGACGAGCCTCTACTGGTATTTGTTCACTGAAGGTAATATTAAACTTCTTCAATATCTCTTAATTTACATGTATTGCTTTGTAACCCATATTTAAATTTCATTTTAATAGTAAAATATGTGTTAGTTAATTTATATTTAAAATTTCAATACATATAGTTTTCAGGATGACAATTTCGATACAAATACAAAAAATAAAATAGAGTTACATTGGAAGAAGAAAGTTAATTTCAATTTATATGATGAAAATGATAATAAAAAGGATAAGTTTTATGTCCTTTCCATGTTTCCTTATCCTTCTGGAAATCTTCATATGGGTCATGTCAGAGTTTACACCATCAGTGATGTTATAGCACGTTTTTATAGAATGGCAGGTAAAATCAATAAGAATACTATCAAATTGTCATTTCTCTATAATAAAAAAATAATAAATCAGTAATGAGAGGAATGAGAGAACGCAACTAAAGTGACAGAGCGTATAGAACACATTGACATTATTTAATTGAAGGAACCACAGACATCCTATATAAATAATAATTAAGAACTGATAAAATGACACTCACTATTTGTTTTAGGTAAAAATGTGATTCACCCTATGGGATGGGATGCATTTGGTCTACCTGCTGAAAATGCAGCTATTAAACATCAAATCGATCCTAGCGAATGGACTAGGAGTAATATAAATACAATGCGCAAACAATTAAATGCTCTTAATTTTTCATTCGATTGGAACCGAGAAATTTCGACTTGCGATTCTGAATATTATAGATGGACTCAAGAATTATTTTTAAAACTTTTTGAAAAAGGTTTAGTTTATCGAAAAGAAGAATACGTTAATTGGGATCCTATTGACAAGACTGTACTAGCAGAAGAACAAGTTGATATAAATAATAAGTCTTGGAGGTCTGGAGCTACAGTAGAAAAGAAATTATTAAAGCAATGGTTTATCAGAACTACAGCTTTCGCAAAGTATGTTCATAGTAATACTATTTTAAGAGAAAAAAAACAAATGTAATGAAATACAATGTTTTTATTATATTACAGGTCTTTATTGGACGGATTAAATGATCCGACGTTAAAAGAATGGAAAGATATTATAAAAATTCAACAAAATTGGATAGGTAATTGTAATGGTGTAAGTTTTGATTTTAAATTAGTTTCGGATATCTCTGAATTTCCTGAAATTATAAATTTATGGACTGATAAGCCAGAATTTGTCAAATTTGCAAAATTCGTTGTTATTTCTCCTAGTAATATATTAAATCAACAACAATATACTGAAAGTGTTAACGCAACGACTAAAAAACTGAAAGCTACTATAATAAATCCTTTTACTGAACAAGAATTGCCTATATTTATATCAAAAGAATTGGTTTTTCCACAATTAAGAGATAATTATTTGGGTATTCCTTCTGCTTCCATGGAAGATTACGAATTTGCCGAATCTGTAAAAATTCCATTCCAACGACACAATATACGTTCTCATTTAGAACTGCAGAATGAGCTTAATGACGTATTAATTAAAGCAAAGAAATGGAATATTGGTGGATATGCAGTAAGTTCTAAATTAAAGGATTGGCTGATTTCTAGACAAAGATATTGGGGCACGCCTATTCCAATTGTACATTGTCAAAATTGTGGTATTCAACCTGTGCCACGCAGTCAGCTACCTGTTACATTGCCAAACATTAATTTTAACTTGAAAGAAAAAAGTCATTTTACTTTACTCGATGCCAAAGAATGGTTAGAGACTGTGTGTCCAAAATGTGGTAATCATGCAATCAGAGAAGCTGATACAATGGATACTTTTGTAGATAGTTGTTGGTACTTTCTAAGATACATTGATGCAAAAAATAAAGAAGAAATATTTTCCACGGAAAAAGTCAAAAAATCTTTACCTGTTGATTTATATATAGGTGGAAAGGAACATGGTAAGTTCAAATGTTGAATTTGATTGGTTTGTTCATATCTCATATATTTCTTAATCTATTTTTCATACGATTGCAGCTATGCTTCATTTATATTATGCTCGATTTATGAACCACTTTTTATACGAGGAGGGTCTTGTTCCGACCCGTGAGCCATTTAGGCAACTTCTCGTACAGGGTATGGTAATGGGGAAAACTTATCGAATATCTGATACTGGACAGTATATAAAAGAAAGTGACGTTATTAAAAATGAAAAGGATAACAAGTATACAGAAAAAAGTACTGGGAGACTTGTAACAGTTACTTGGGAAAAAATGTCTAAATCAAAACACAATGGAATTGATCCTCTTGAACTTTTAAAATCCTATGGTATAGATACAACTAGATTATTAATATTAGCCGATGTAGCTCCAACTTCGCATAGAAATTGGTCCACCGACAGTATGTATTTTAAATATATATATAATTAACCCCTATATTATAATTAATATCATATATTATTTATATATCATAAATATTAATGGTATATATATATATTATTTATTATTATAATTATTATAGATCAAATAATACAATCTTTTCTTAACTTTTAACCGACCACTGTCGCCGCAGCGAACTGTCGAGTTCCTAATGCCAATTAATAACAATCATGTTATATTATTTTTATTAGAAATATAATAGCAAGTATGGTGTATTTTTTTTACAGAACGCGTATCAAGTTTCTTCTATTTAAAAATGTTTCTATTTTATCGAAAAATTAGTATATAAAATTCTTTAGTACGCAAATATTATAATTAATAATTATGAATTACATAAAATATAATAGAAATAAATTAAATAAATCAGCCCAATAAGACTCCATCCAGCGATTTATCAATTACAAATCTATGCTGATACGCGTTACGCTACAACCTTGATTGATATTTGATTTAAAGAAATAGTATAGGAATACTAGTAAAACTTTAACCCTAATTTTCTCAAAACCGGCTATACCTAGGAAGTCAATGGCTTAACACCGCATATACGGTCTGTAATCATAATGAACTCATATAAATTTATAAAGTTTTATAAACGTTTTAAAATAACAAGCTGTGGACTATCCTAAGTGTTAAGAGATTTCTAAGCTAATATCCGAAAACTATTAAGTGATGATATTAAAGTAGTATAACTCGCATTATATTAAAAAAATGATATAATTTGTATGTACTTATAATCGCATTTTATGTTTATCAGCTATTCGCGGTATACAAAACTGGCAAAATCGTATATGGAAGATCCTAAAAGAATTTATTAAAATGAGAGAACATTTATCATTAGAAGAACTTCAGAAAGCACCTACTGATCCTAAATATGTTAAGGATGATGAATACATGTTTGATAGTAGAAATTATTTTCTAAAAAAAGTTACTTTTAATATCACAGAATCGCAGCAGATAAGCATTGCAATATCTAGAATGCAAGGACTTACAAATAGGTAAGTTAATATTAATATAAGAAGGTCTTAATTATCAAATATAGTATATGAAATATTACTAAATTTTAATTACTATATTTTGAAATTTTCAGTCTACAAAAAGTATGCAGCGAGTGCAAATTAAAAAGTCGTGAATATGAACGAGCATTAGCTGTACAAATAATTATGCTTGCACCGTTAGCTCCACATTTCGCTTCAGAATTATGGACTGCATTTTGTTCTGTATCGAATCATCTTATGAATAAAGAGGAAGTTCTATTGGATAAAGATGTATTAGATCAAAAGTGGCCTGAAATAGATATGGATTATAAGATGGAAATGAAAATTCATGTAAGTTTATTTTATTCTTTTTATAGGAAGTTTACATATGCACGTACAGATACACATTAGATTAATAAATTTTATAAATTTCAATTTATTCGATATTTTCAATCTCAAATAGGTAAATAAAAATTTGATCGGGAAAATAAAAATTCCTCGCTATATTTTGGATAAATTAACTGCGCAGGAAGCTTCAGAATTAATAATAACTGAACCCTTATGTAAAAAGTTTCTAAAAAATCGTACGATCACAGATATTAAGCTCCTTTCACAGACAGGCTGTGACGCAAATTTGTATGTCAGTACGAATAAAATATCAGAGAAAGTTTCAGGTTAATAATTCTGAAAGATTTTTGTAACTATATGATAAATTGAATAAAATAAGGAGAAAAGATAAAGAAGATCAAAGAATTTGAAAAAGAAGAAGAAGAAGATCTTTCTACATTTCATTAATTGAAAGATATCTGTTCTGTCATAAAAAATATCTAAATCCTTGATGATGACAACTATCGAATCTATTCTAAAAAAAAAAGAAATTAAAAAATAAAAATTATAAGCATTTACATTATATTTGTATAATGTCCATAATAAATTAATAAACAAACTTTAATAATTGCAAATGCAATTGTAATATGAAAGAGTATGAAAAAAAGGCAAATGAATATACGTGTAATCGGCGGCTCGACCGTCGATCGTTGCCGCGTTTTCATAACTTTCCGGGTAATTTGTAACAAAAACAAATTTGTAACAAATAACACCGGATAATAATGAGATATTTCTTGCTCGAAATATAAATGTAAACTAACACTGTTACCGTGAAACTTATCGAGGTTCTTTTTTTTGTCATAACGTTCGATCTCAATTATTTACATTTGAAAATTTTTATCTACAACTGCACGCATGAAAATAAAATGAAATTATTTGATTATAAAGAGGTTTTTAATTTGTTTCATAATTTTAAACAATTGTACTATTGTTAATTTAAATAATTACTACAGCATGTTATGTGTAATTTAACAGATTAGAATCAGCAGTCACCGACGGAATAGTTGATAAGACAAGAATCTACTATCTCCGACTAGATTGTAGGTAAATAAGAGTTTATTATTACCGCCTACTCGATTAGTTAAACAGGAATTTACTACAGTCAGTAAAATAATACACACATAAACATATGTATATATAATATATATATTCTTCTTTATTCACAATACAATATATTTTAAATAGTATCATTTATGGCCAAATTTGCGGGTAATTTAAGTAACTATATGAAAACAAAATTTATTGTCTTCTGTTTTAAAATTTTTTTGAATTATAATGATATAAAAATTAAAATATTAACAATAGCATAAAGTACTATTGATACTTTGTGGGAAGACGTTTTATCGGTAGAAACTTTATTGATAAAAGCTTTATTGATAGATTTCATCAATATGTAATCAGTTCCGCAAATTCCATTATGATCATCGGTATCGATGCTCCAAATCATCACACCAGCTAAATTCATTTCCTTAGCATACAATGCCTGGAAATCGAGCAAAAATTATTAAATTTGTTTCTAACTGTAATATACTGTAAT